AATCAAAATCTTGACGACCAAAACCATCAGTCGAACGCCCATGAGGTGTTTATGTATGATTTATCATTCAGTCCTAATCCCGACTCGGACGTGAATCTTCTCAAGAAGTCTACAGTGATCTCTGTATTGTTAGACACTGGAGCCGGGAAGAGTTTCGTCAACGGGTCATGGTTAAGGGATAATATTTCTCTTGTGCACGCTCATAAGCGCTCGGACAATCCCCTGAAAGTCAAGTGCGCTAACGGCTCTACTTTTTGCACGGACCGCATGGTCTTATTGAAGGTAGTTCACGACGGTGAGCTTAAAACATGGTGGTTCTACGTTACCAAGCATCTCTCCCATGCGGTCATCTGCGGCATGGACCTCTTGCGTGGTCTTAGCTTCACGTTGAAGATGTCACCAGGATCTCAAGAGGTCTCAACGAATGCCGAGCAGGGTGAGGTTGGCTGTACCTTCACTTCGATAGTGACTACATTGAACACCATTTCGCAACGGTCTGAGGTTAACTCGAGGGACTTTGGCCAGGATACTGTGCTCTGCTCATCGGAGAAACCGGTACAATTGTTAGCAGACGATACTCTGGTCGACATCGTCCCGGACATCTCTAGTCTGCCAAACTCGCATCCTGAACCAATACAGCGGCACGTCCATCGCATTCCATGGGTGAGCGAGGCGAGGCCCAACCGTAGCCGGTCTCTTAGACGTGCGAAGCAGATGTCGAGGAAGCTTGAAGAGAAGCTGAGGAACGATCCAGTGGCGTACCGACAATGCTGTGAGCAGATCGACATGTTGGTGAAACGTGGGTTCGCAAGACCGGCATCCGAGGACGAGATCAATCATGCTTACGGACTGTTGGTGGTTCGTCGAGCTTCTTCGTCCACGACGCCTATGCGTGTGGTCAGGGTTGTGCAGGCCCTGTGAAATTTCGCGTTCCGCAAATTTCAATTTCAAAAATTTCATGAAATTTCAGCGGTGCGCTGAAATTTCGCGAAATTTTGAAATTTGAAGATTTTTGGCTAAAATTTGTACTTTTTGGGGCTTTTCACGCTCCCCAACATCGAAGAATATCATATCCACAACATAGCTTTGATAAAGCAGTCATAATCTAGATAATTATCACGGATGTCCTGCGAATCGGTGAATTCTTGCGCCGCTCGTGAACAGATCTCGCTCGCCCTGGAAATCCTGGCGGGGCGCACCGAAGCTGTGACTTCAATGATTGATAGGTGCATGTATCCGACAAGTAGAGACTCCGATGAATCGATTCATTTCTCCATCGTCGATTAGTTAGTTGTGCTCGCACAGTAGTCGATTGTCTGAGAAAGCCACGAGACCCATGTTTAGGTGTCCGATCTACCGATTTGTTGTTGTCTTCAGGCGTTGAGGAATCTGATGTGCTTCCGCTCGATGCATT